GCAGACATACCGCTGTGCCACTGGGGGTCGAGGCACCATGATGTGTTTGTTTGTTTGTAGCTAAGCACAAAGCTACATAATGGGCTATCGGTGTTCTGCCCACCACGGGTATCTAAACCCGGATTCTAGCGTTGTAAGTCCGCAGACATACCGCTGTGCCACTGGGGGGCCTCTCTCTCTCGAGTTTGATTGAAATTCATATATTTTTAATATAAACTTTATAAATATCCCGTGCTACTGATCTAGTTTTATCCAACATGTTTCGCATCAAGACAAAACTTTATTACAAAACTACCATCATCGGGTTTTTCGTTGGTTGTCTATAATTAATTGCTCATAAAATATTGAGTTTCTAGAAAAAACATATTACTAAGACTTCATAGTATATCATAATGTTCACATTTCTAAACGTTTCCTTAAAGTTAAAGAGGGCGATAATTGATATTTTATCTGCATATATTAAAAACATTGAGGAGATGAAACAATCCAGACTTATCAATTGGAAAAAACTTGACTGAGTTACAAAATGTTTTTATATCTTATTTACTATTTCAGTTATCACCTTTTATGGATTTATTATAGGACAGAAAAGCACGTTATTAAAACAGGAAACACACATGTCATTCACACACAGAGACTTAGTCTTACCTGAATGTGAGTCTAGTATAAACATGAATATAATGTATATCAACATTTAATGTCACAACATTATAGACTTCCGCATTCTTCACATTTAAACTAGACTCGGTAGTCCTGTATTTTTAATACTGTTATAAATTATTAAGTCATTAGTATGAAATAATATCGGATATATGCAGGTTACTTCCTGGTTTTTAAAATACAAGTTGTTGAATGTTTCCTTATTGTGATGTGACATAATTAACCAGAGTTGATTATTTTTGCGAATTATTAATGATACATGAAAGAAAATGTAAGAGACATCAAGAAACTGATTTCCTCAACGTTGTTTGGACTCAAACAGCGTTCATAGTTCATTTGAAAGGATTTATTATCACTTTTACACGGCAATGTAACCATATGTTTCAGATTGTTTTAACAGTTTAGTCGAGATGCATCATTGATGACGTCATAAATTACGTGTGTAGAATATGATATCCGAAAGGGAAACGTTTCTATATTAGGTGTGGTTTGAAAGAAGGTTCAGGAACAGGTTCGTAATCTACGTTGTAGAATATGATATCCGAAAGGGAAACGTTTCTATATTAGGTGTGGTTTGAAAGAAGGTTCAGTAACAGGTTCGTAATCTACGCTGTAGAATATGATATCCGAAAAGGAAACGTTTCTATATTAGGTGTGGTTTGAAAGAAGGTTCAAGAACAGGTTCGTAATCTACGCTGTAGAATATGATATCCGAAAAGGAAACGTTTCTATA